AAGTGGATTTCAGAGCATAGCACTAACAGCCAGATTAGTGGCTGATTAATTTCCCTCATATTAGCAACACGTAGATAACTGCTTTTAAGAGCTTTTAATGAAACACCTCAAGGAACCAGGAACAAGCATCAAAATCTACCTCAATTAAGTCCTGTATTATTATTATTGTTTTTTAATATACAAGACAATTTTCATTTAACTGCTTTATCCTGGTCCTCTTTCCAAATTGCTTTAATAGCCTTTTTTTTTCCTGATGATGCTGATCGCCTCTTATATTTATGAGAGTGCATGATACAAATTATTTTGTACTTGGCATATGCGTGTATTAATTTAATGAGGAAAAAAATAGAAGGCAAGGATTAAAATGACAGTGAGACGTGGACTTTTGGCTGGGGGGACTTAAAATGAAAGCATTGAAAATGGAAATAACTTGTTATAAATGGAAATTGTTTTTAATACATTGGCTGACCTCAGAATAACAAAATAACTTTTGGGGCAGCCATGAGCTGGATGACTGAAAATTTCCATAGACATCTTCTTCAAATGGGAAATATAACAGAATAACAGAGTTGGAAGGGACCTTGGAGGTCTTCTAGTCCAACCTCCTGCTTAAGCAGGAAACCCTATACCATTTAAGATAAATGGCTGTCAAATCTCTTCTTAAAAACTTCCAGTGTTGGAGCATTCACAACTTCTGAAGGCAACTTGTTCCACTGATTAATTGTTGTACCTGTCAGGAAATTTCTCCTTAGTTCTAGGTTGCTTCTCTCCTTGGTTAGTTTCCATCTGTTGCTTCCTGTCCTGCCTACCTCAGCTGGGGAAGAACAGACAAACCATCATCTGTTTTGCTGATAAACCTACATTGTTCAAAAGGTGAACACTGGACCTTTGTCTACTAAGGATGTGCTTGCATTACTCATTTTAAGTTCTTCCTATCTCCCATTCCCGTCTCCTTATCTAAAACAACATTCTGTGTGAGTTTGGAAACTCCCTTTTAACCAAACCGTGGACAGTTAAAAAAAAAAAAAGAACCAGAGGTATTTCTGGAATTCCCTCAATGTTCTTCAGAAGATAAAGTGTGGTGGGCATCCATTTCGGTTCCCATGGCAGTACCCAATCAACAGCATACTGACAAAAGAAGATTATGAAATTCTTGCTGGAGAAAAGTGGTGGAGAAATTTCACAGGTAGGACACCCAAATTTCACAGGTGGGACATGCAATATCAGTTCAGCGTTTGTAGGATGATGGTATTAAGGTGTCCTGCTTGAGCAGGGGGTTGGACTAGAAGACCTCCAAGGTCCATTCCAACTCCGTTATTCCATTAATCTTGTGATGGATAGACTGTGCATTGTCCTTGTGAACAGGGAGGGCTTAGCTGCAATAAAAGGACGCGGTGGCTCAGTAGCTAAGACGCTGAGCTTCTTGATCAGAAAGGTTGGCAGTTTGGCGGTTTGAATCCCTAGCGCCATGTAATGGAATGAGCTCCCGTTCCTTGTCCCAGCTTCTGCCAACCTAGCAGTTCGAAAGCATGTAAAAATGCAAGTAGAAAAATAGGGACCCCCTTTGGTGAGAAGATAACAGTGTTCCATGCACCTTCAAAGGCATTTAGTCCTGCCAGCCACATGACCACGGAGATGTCTTTGGACAGCACTGGCTCTTCTTCGGCTTTGAAACGGAGATGAGCACCGTCCCCTAGAGCCAGAAACGACTAGCACGTATGTGTGAGGGGAACCTTTACCTTTAGCTGCAATCCCCGACTCTCTTCCTGTGGACCTTACTCATTACAGGATTAGTCTGAGTAAAACCTAACAAAACCCAAAGTGATTGATGGGTCCTGATTTTTTTCTCCCTAGTTTTAAAATATTTGGGACTCTGGAGAAGGGTTTACCAGTGGTTGCATCCTACACAGATCACAGAGAGGGCTCATTCCATCATTTCTACCTTGATTTAATTGTCTTGATGCCTTCCAAAATTTCACGTTGGAAGGTTAACTCTCTTATGGATGAATATCTGTGGCACCATATTAAGAGGCTTCAGGGGGCTGATGGAGACTGACAGGTGTTCACCCTTGTAAAGTGGTCTCTCTTTCCCTCCCTGCTTCCCTCTCTGCTTGTTTTTTACATGCTGATTCAGTCTTTTGTTTCTCTCTACTATGTGTGTGTGTTATATAATACACAAAGGAAACTCTTGCTCCTAATCATTGCAGATGTAATCTTGATGCCCGTGTGTGTGTGTGTGTGTGTGTGTGTGTGTGTGTGTGTGTGCATGTGTGTGCATCTCTCTTCCATTTCTGTGTGAGTCTATATTTTTTTGTCAAGCTGTGCCCATCCTTGACTCGTGAATTATGCACACTATTCATGGCAAAGTAAAAGGCCGAAGCAGTGAGCATGCAAAAAAAATCAACACAACCAGGATCTTCATCATTCTGTTGTCTTCCTGTGGAAGACCTTAACAACATACCCTGGATCAGCCCGCAACTCTGGATCAGCCCGCAACTCTGGAGCCACATGTGGCTCTTTCATCCTTCCACTGTGGCTCCCTGTCACTGGTCAGCTCCACAATTGAAAGGGCTTTTGGTTAGGACAGGTTGCCACGCTAGGAGGAGACTCTATGGTGGGGGAACCGTACTTCCGGTCGGCAGAGAAAAAAGGATGCCATGCTAGGAGGAGACTCTATGGTGGTGGTGGGAAGTGGACTTCCAATCAGCAGAGGAAAAAGGACGCTGCGCTAGGAGGAGGGGGAACCAGACTTCCGATCAGCTACAGAATTGAACGGGGACTTCCGGTTAGGACCTTTGTGGCTCTTTGAGTGTTTAAGGTTGCCGACCCCTGCCCTGGATGGAGAACTTATGAAATTGCATTCCATAAATGTTTTCAAAGATAGTAACTAGGTGACAGAAGTTTCTGCCCTGCAGAACTCTAACTGGAGAGTATGATTGGTGACTCTTGGCTATGGATGTGTCCCATTGGAGAATATGAATTACGATACACCCAGGGGGTGGAGGGAAAACCAGGGTCAAGGGTGATAATGAATGTTGTGCCTCAGAGTCAGCTACAATCAGGCAATGCCGGACATGTTAACTCCCAATAAATTCTTTTGAAATTTTGGAAGTCTGGCTCGAGACTCATGATTTAAATGGGGGGTAACTGCTGGAACCCTGACATCATGTTTGCATCTAAGGCAGCTGTTTGCAGCTGGCTCTACTCCTGCACTTTCCAAGTTAACGTTCAGTTATTCTCAACGTACGACCACGACTGAGCCCTGGATTTATGTTTCTAAGTGAAACATCCGTGAAGTGAGCTCCACCCCACTTTACAATTTTTCTTGCTACAGTTGTTTAGTGAATCACTGTGTTGTTAAGTGAGTGACAAGGTTGTTCAATGTGTCTGGCTTCCTGGTTGACTTTGCTGGTCAGAAGTTTGCAGAAGGGGACACTGCAATCATCATAAATACGAGTCAGTTGCCAAGTATCCAAACCACAGGGATGCTGCAAGGGTCATAAGTGTGAAAAATGGTCATCAGTCTCTTTTTTTCAGTGCCACCGTAATGTCAAATGGTCACTAAACGAACAGTTGTAAGTCGAAGATGACCTGAAACATTTGACTCCCAGCTCTATTCTCGGATGGATGAGCAGAAAGTCAAAATTTATGCTGTCGTTGCACTAAAATTGCTTGCTCTTCCCTTCCCAGTGACTCAGGGCACATTTATCTTCATTTCTGAAAATAACATGGTTTTATTTCCTCTGTTGAATTAGGATGAGGGAGGGTCTTGGGCATTTTGGCATTTGCTTATTTATTAGATAGACTAAATTAATCATTTTCTGCCCATGATTTACAGAGGCATTTTCTAATTTAAATCAACATTAATACCTGGGCATTGTTGATGTGACAGATTGGTAAATGCAAAAAATCACTTTATTGTTTGCAGTTTAAAAACTGGAATCCTTTTTTTGGTGGGAGATGGGGGGCAATTATAGTGTAAAAGTAATATTTCTGATTTTGGTCTTCCTGATTTTGACCTCCCCCTTGTGGGTACCGCTGAGTTTGGCTCATTTTTCCACCCACAGCAAAGAAACTGCTTGGATAATTTTCAATCACTGCATTTGCTCAGATCTGATAGGGCTCTCAGAAGAAATTCCAAGAGGCTGTTAAATAATACAAAATAACAAAAAGAATTCAGAGGTTGTAGAAGGTCCATTGTGGCACAGATCCTGACTTTCTGATCCTAAAAGGTGACAAAAGAGAGGAAGGAAGAAGCAAAATAAAAATAAGGAAGATATTAAATACTTCCCATAAAACACTGTTTACTTGGGCATGAATTTGAAACATGAAAACAAAGTAAATTTATTAAGGCCTTAGACCAGTATATAAATATAAACTCTCTTGTAATTAATTAATATAGTGATAACGGAAAGGAAGGAAGGAAGGAAGGAAAGAGAAAGAAAAGGATGGAAAAAAAGGAAAAAGAAGGAAGGAAATGGGAAAGGAAAAAAAGAAGGAAGGAAGGCTGTGAGAGAAAGGGAAGGAAGGACAGAAGGAGAGATGGAAAGAAAAGGAATGAGGGAAAAGAAAGGAAAAAGAAGGAAGGGAAATGAGAAAGGGAAAAAGAAAAGAAAGGAAGGGTGTGAGAGAAAGGGAGGAAGGCAGGAAGGATATTTTAAATAAAATTCTGTTGACTTTTCAGCTGACAAACCATGTTTTGCTGCCTTTAGCATTAGTGATCCTATAGTCTACTAGGAGAAGAAATTTGGCTGAGTCTAAAAATGCACATTTGCTCACGTCCAACCATGCCAAGTTTTTACGGGAGAGCCTGGGCAAGCAGAAGAACGGGATAGAAAAATGGGACTGGAGCAGCTTCACAGCACTATCAAAGCAACCTCTGCCTCGGTCTTCCCCCTGCGGGAAATAATCTGTCAGGCTTCCTGCAGCCCTCTGATCTTCCTAGCTGTGCACCATTGATCTGATGATTTCTTCTCTTTCTCTTCTGTTTCTGTAGGATAAAACGGTGGGTGGAGATGATGCAGGAAGACCTCGTGCGGCTGGTGAGAACAGCCAGTGGAGTGGATGACCTCGTTCAAGTAAGTGGCTCTTCCCTGGGCTTTTCTCTACCAATGATGGCTACTCCTGTGTTTTCCCAGAAAATAAGACCCAACTGGAAAATAAGCCCTAGCACAATTTTTTTTCCAGAATACTCTTAATATAAGCCCCAGTTAAGATTGTCAGCCAGACACATTTAAAAATGTATTTCCCCCAAAATAAGACCTAACTGGAAAATAATCCCTAGCATGATTTTTTTCAGGATGCTTGCAATATAAACTCTATCCCCAAAATAAGTCCCACTTAAGATTGTCAGCCAGACGGATGCATTGAGTACCATATTTTCCCCAAAATAAGACATAACCAAAAAAATAAGACCTGATGTGTCTTTTGCAGCAAACAATAATACAATATCTGATCTTATTTTAGGAGAAACATGGTAGCATAATACAGATAATCCTCAACTTATGATCACAATTATGCCCAAAAGGTATGTTGCTAAGCGAAACCTTTGTTAAGTGAGGTTCTCCCCCCATTTTACAGCCTTTCCTGCCATAGTGGTTAAGTGAATCATTGCGGTTGCTCAGTTAGTAACCTGGTCATTCAGTAAATCTGATTTTCCCTGCTGACTTCGCTTATCGGAAGGTCATGAAAGGGGATCACGTGGCCATCGCAGGACGCTGCAACCGTCATAATTGTGAGTCAGTTGCCAAACATCTGAATTTTGATCACGGGACCATGGGGATGCTGTAATAGTTGTAAGTGGGAAAAATGGACCCACTTATAATGGAAGTCACTTTTTTCAGTGCCATTATAACTTTGAATGGTCACTAAGCAAATTGTTGTAAGTCGAGGACCACCTGGAGATGACTTTTTACTAAAGTCCTTCTGTTAAATGGAATAGAGGATTGTTTTCCAGGTAGTTCTCAACTTAACTGTTTGTTTAGTGACCATTCAAAATTGTGGTCATAAGTTGAGGACCACCTATACCTTCCTCTTAAATAGAAGGAGGCTTGCCTGGGAGACCTTTCTGTTTTGATTCAGTCATGCGCCTTCACCTAATTTGAGACCAGCCTTACAGATGATCCTCAACTTATAACCATCCGTTCCAAGTTAACAACAGCATTGAAAAAAAAACCCTGACTTGTGGCTGTTTTCCACACTTACGACCACTGCAGCATCCCCACGGTTGCGTGAACAGCATTCTGATGTTTGGTAACTGATTCGTATTGTGACAGTTGCAGTTTTCGGATGGTTTCCAAACCTCTTTCTTGCCTTTTAAGCATCCTGTTTCCGTGCTTTTGTGTGCCTTCATTGCTCACCCGTGCTTGCAACCATATGCTCCCCAAACCCAAAGACACATCAGTGTTTTAAAAATAAATCTTGTGTGTGTGTGTGTGTGTGTGTGTGTGTGTGTGTGTGAGAGAGAGAGAGAGAGAGAGAGAGAGAGAGAGAGAGAGAGAGAGAGAGATGGAGCCTGAGCCATCTGTCAGCCCTCAGATGGAGAGTCAACAGCCCCCAGGTCTGGTTGTAGCTGATGAGGAAGAAGAGGAACAGCTGGGTCCAATGGCTGACACACAGAAGGCAGAGGAGAGGAGAGCACTGGAAATCTATGGGCCAGTCCTTGAAATGGAAGAGCCACCACTGCTGGCGAAGCCTCCCCTAGCTCTAGGTATAAAAGGCAGGGAGTAGAGATGAATAGATGTGGCAGACAACTATTCCTCTCCTTGCTGGTAAAGACTTGTTAGCCTGCGGAGAGAAGTAATTTTTTTTGCTGGGGGGGGGGGGGGTTGTGCTCCTAATAAAGGAATCATTGCTTTAACTACAGGGGGTTTGTTGTGTTTGGAGAGCTGAGTCACAACAATCTCCCAGGCTGCCTTCGTAGAGAAAGTTGCTGCATATTTATTAATTGACTTACTGTCTGCAGACTTTGTTTGGTCAAAGACTAGTTTATTGTTCAACCCAAAAAAACAAAACAAAACCCTAATGTTTAATCAGGTGCCAAAGGCAGGGACTTACGATGTTGTCTGGCAGCAACAAGCTTCTTCGCATTAGGCTGCCTGTCCAGGAAACATGAGATGCTCTCTCTGAAAGGAACTCAGACAAAGAGGTGGGTGTGGGAGGGAACAAAAGCTGGAAGTGATGGCTTCTTTATTGACAAATAGTCCAGTCAATAGTGAAAAGAAGAACTAGGATTGACAGGAGAGCAGTGTTCCAATATTTGAGGGGCTGCCACAAAGAAGTGGGGGCGGCCAACTTATTTTCCAAAGCACCAGAAGGCAAGACGAGAAGCAACCTGGAATTTGAGGAGAAACTTCCTAGCAGGGAGGACAATTAACCAAAGGAACAGAAGTTGCCTTCAGAAGTTGTGGGTGCTTCATCATTGGAGATTTTAAAAGAAGACAACCATTTGTTGAAAAGGATATCAGAATCTCCTGCTTAAGCAGGGAGCTGGACTGGAAGACTTCCAAGGCTCCTTCCAACTCTGTTTTTCATTATTATTATTATTATTATTATTATTATTATTATTATTATTATTAT